CAAGAAAGAAGTGTGGTTCTGTTACCCCATATTATAAATCCATAGGACCAGATCCTCAGCTTATGTAAACGGCCAGGGCTCCATTCATGGAGGAAATATAGTTAAAATTATAGAGAGTTAAAAAGATGAATGCAATCCCCATTTAAATATGGAAAGTACATGGTGCCATGCAATGGTAAGATGGAACTGGAGAAGCGTCAGTCCCCCCCGTCCCTTATGCCCTCAGTTCGGAGCATGAGGAGACCTGAGCATGTGTGGACCAACGGACATTACTTGCCAGATATCTCTGAACTCAGGCGCATGGTGTGGGTGCATAGCCACTTGTGGAATACACATAAGGGCCAGCATTCAAAGATGAATGGAAGTTACATCCTGCTATGAATTCTGCGAAGGTGGGGGACCTCTTTGTGATATGGGCAATGGAAAATACCATTCATCAAAGAGAGGTGTCCTTCTGAATATTGGAATTTGAAGACGTTTTCTAGCTTTGTGAGACAGTACTCGGTAATCTAGTGAGAAAACATTCCAAGTACATCCCTCCATTCATTTTAATAACTTCTACTCATTGCCAATGTGTTTGTTTCTTGACTCCTTTGCAACGGAAAGGCCTTTTATTACTGTTATGACATCTCCTCATTCAAGTCTCACCAGTCTCCAAACAGCTATACAGCTAGTGACAGCTTGACCACCTCACAATAGGAAGGACATTTTGGATCCTGAAAGTTCTCGGCGACAGATCACGAGGGTGTGGAGCAAAGTAATTTAAATGACTCTAGGTGAGTCTGTGTAATACACACACACCAGCTAGAAGTTCCACTCTCCAGCCTTTTCTAGGGGGGTTGCATTGCAGACACTGTGATAACTACAACTACTCATAGTATATATAAGTGGAGTAGCACCTAAAAGCTCCAGTCATGAACCAGTGCCCCGCTGTGCTAGGTGCAGTATAGACACTTAACAAAAAGACAGTCCCTATCCCAAATAACTTACAAAGTCCCATGCCTCTAGGAAGCAGCTGTTTCGTCTTTCTTTTTCTAAACCCTCGGAAATGCAATGGTGCTCTGCAGCTGCGTTGGGAGTGGGACTTACAAAGCGCTAAGTATTGGCCTAATTCCATTCCCATTGAACCTTTGTGGCCACTGATGTCCGTGGGAGTAGAGTTAATGCAGCACCTAGCACTTTTAAAAACCCCGTCCCTAGCAAATCTAACCAGTGCTTAGCCATTCTCCTTATGTGCAGTGGGAGTGAGTTGATTTCAGCCCATATTCAGAAAAGCAGCCCTATTGCTTGGGCAGATAATTTAAGTTGGGCAGATGTTTAAATGCTCTTCTCCTGAGCAAAGATGGATTTCAGCACATGCTTCAGTGATGTCCTGAGTCACAGCTTTTGCTATTAGGTAGTTTAGCTTTTGCCATTCTTTATTTTATTTAAAACTGCAATCTTAGCTGTTATAATGTAGGGGGTTGTGGGTCATACAATTGCCCCCTCCCGACTTCCCATGAAATACTATATATTATATAGATGATGAGACAGAGAGAACGTCTGCCACTTTGCCAACTAAAATAATTACCTTTAAAAAACCCAGTGTGACTTGTATTATTGTCCCTTGTCTATATTCCAATGCTATCCTGAAGGTGGATATGTATCTAGATTATTTCAAAGGGTTAGCAGCTAGTCTGTGCTCTTACTCCTTGCTATTTATTTATTTTCCATCTTGGAACTTTTAAAATTGATAGTAAGCACACAGCAAGAACTGATGTCTTGTAACTGATGATTCTGTAAACTTGCTTTTGGCATCTCGGGTGTGTTCTACATCTTATAAACCTACTTTTATCACTGAAGTGCACCAATACTTTATGTTAGAAACTGATTACATGAGCTAAAGCTCAAATAAAAAGAAAGGTACTGATGTATAAATGATCTTATTATATTTAGTACACCTCTACCCCGATATAACGCTGTCCTCGGGAGCCAAAAAATCTTACCGTGTTATAGGTGAAACCGCGTTATATCGAACTTGCTTTGATCCACTAGAGTGCGCAGCCCCACCCCCCCGGAGCGCTGCTTTGCCGCGTTATATCAGGGTAGAGGTGTATAGCTAGAGTTGATCAAATCTTAGGATAATTTCTCCCTTTAAATAGATATACACATATACACACACACAGCAAAACGGATATAGAAACAGCAGCTCTTGTGTTTAGGAAAGGAGATGTAAGTTATATACAGTTGTTTGTGGACACCTAGACATCTGCAGTGGGATTTCTATATCATATGTTTCTGGGTAACATTTTCGTTGCAATCTGAAAATGTTCGTGCCTTGCCCATTGCATCCTTTTCCATGCTATGAACGTTGATTCCTTTCCTGACTGTCTACAGGTTGGTAAATGAACCTGGCTATTTTTGTTGAGTTCTTTCTTTAATGCATCAGCACCATACCTCTGGAGTTAGTGCTTGTTAGTTAACGGTGACTGCAGAGTCAGCAGGTGGAGTTTGTATATCATTTTCTGTGAGTCTAACATGAATAGAAAGGGTTTTTTATTTTCACGAGGACACGCGCTATTGGCAGGTTTCTTTAGGATCCAACCCTGCACTCCTTATTCAAGCAAAATGCTGCTTGACATATCCTAAGAAAATAGAAATGAAAATTTGGCTTTGACAAAAATTTGGGACTTACAGTTTAAAATCAGAAACACAAAAAATAATAATTAACACTTAATAAAATCTGCCTAGTTTGAGCCAGTGCTATCACAAGAGCTCAGCAATACTAGATCGGTAATATGCCCATTGCATTTCCATTACTGCAAATGCCACTGTTAAATAGAAGACACTTTAGGATGCCTATTTTTGTTTTCATTTTGAAGCCTTGAGGCCCAGATCCTCAAAAGAACGTAGGGAATGTCTACACTGCACTGTAAACCCAGGTCTGTGGCACCTGGATTTGTGGACTCGCTGTTTCCAAGCCAGTGCCTGAATTGGACACCTGCATTTACAAGTGCTGGACCTGGATGTCTCAGCCATAAAAACGGCCATACTGGGTCAGACCAAAGGTCCATCTAGCCCAGTATCCTGTCTTCTGACAGCAGCCAGTGCCAGGTGCCCCAGAGGGAATGAACAGAAAAGGTTATCATCAAGTGATCCATCCCGTCGCCCATTCCAGCTTCTGGCAAACAGAGGCTAGGGACACCATTCCTGCCCATCCTGGCTAATAGCCTTTGGTGGACCTATCCTCCCTTATCTAGCTCTTTTTTGAACCCTGTTTTAGGCTTGGCCGTCACAACATCAGCTGTGTTAATGCATCCATACAGTACTACACAGACCACCTGACTCAGGTATGAGGCTTGACCGGTGTCCATACTGCAAAACGACAGGGCTTGGACCCAACTCACAGTGGGACTCGGGCCTTGACCAACCCTCTGCAGCGGAGTCCTAGGACCCGGGTCCTGAGTGCTTGTTGAGTTGAGTTGAGTCAGACTGATTTGTTTGTGGACAGAAGCATGGCTTGGGTTCCAACCTGAATCAGGGCAGTCTGGGCTTAGTGCATAATATAGACATACCCCAAGGCACTTAACTCTCAGTGAAATCAAGTTCACTCAGGGGACATGTAGTTTAGGCACCACATTTAGGGGGGGGGTTGGTTTGTTGGGCAAACAGAAGCACAGAAAAGTGAAGTGATTTGCTCAAGGTCACCCTGAGAATCACTGGTGGAGCCATGAATGGAACCCAAGGGTGAAATTCTGATCCCCAGTGAAGGCAATGACAACACTCCCATTAATGTCAAAGAGGCCGTTTTTTTTACTACAGGTCTCCTGACTGCTAATCCAGTGCCCCCGTCTGCTAACCCAAAAGCCTCTCAATTAAACATTGCAACGGTGGGGTAGCATGCGAGAGTGGGAAAGTGGGGCTGACTGCAAACAATCTTGAATCGGAAGGGAATCTGAGTTGTCCCTTTCCTTTCTGAACTTCACTCAGCTTGAATAGTGAAAACAAACAGCAGAATCAGTGAAAACATGTATTAGAGCTTTAACATTCTTCTGGGGATTTTAATAATCGATAATAAATTATTAGGAGTAACTTGTAATATGATTTTTGACCCTACTGGATCCTTTCACAATCTGGAATATATGACAAAAGCAGTACTGAAAATGTCCACAATATCTACTGTAAGTATCCCCTACAGGTATTTCCCCGATGAATACATCTAGACAGCACCTTTTAAAAATTTCCTTTATTCTTTTGTACATTTTCTGAACTTGACTGACATACCATCATTATAAAGAAGCCCAGCTCTTTGAATATTTAATCCCATACCACCAGTTCACGTGTGGTTATGAAAAGTCTCAGCAAAGAGGTTCTTGTTGTTTTGTTTTTTTCCTTCCAAGCAGTTGTCTGAATCATTTGATGGTTGAACACGACATTGAGCAGTACACACACACACCGTGCCAAGTTTAACAAACACATGTTTGGAAAATGGTTACAGTGGTTGAAGTTTCAAAAAGGTATTATTCCCCGTTTCTCTCAGCAGCAGGGTTAAACCTATGAATATCCTGAGAAATAAGACCAGAGTGTAGTAGAGTTCCTCTCCTGTTAGCAGTTTTTTTCAAGTAAAAATATATTCTCCCATTTTAATTTGTTGAAGTGTTGGGAATAGGGATGGGGAGGGGGGAGAGGACAGACAGTAGTGATTTAAAGAACTGTTCCAATGTTTCACCCATGTCCTCAATCCAACAGAACGCTGATCCATAAATTGTTTAATAAAAAAACCCAACACTATTAAATTAAAGCACACATACGGTCACACAGCTGGTTCTAATGTTAGCTTCTGACTGTAGATCATCTTCCTAATTCAAGAAACCCCCCCGTTTGGGATGAAACAAACATGCACACGCTAGGAGGACTTTTACTTTAAAATACTCTTAATGCAGAAGTTTGGAGGAATCTTTATAACGGTGAATTCTCATTAACAGGCATATGGCCCATTTTGGCAGCTTTTTTTTTTTTTCCAAACCATGTCCCTAACACTTGTTCACAGTAACTGGCTGTGGCAGATCATACACCGAAGAGAAATACAATACGGCATGAAGATGTACAGATTGCCTGGAAAACACTTGCAATATCTCAGCCTAATCCAACTCCCACAAAAGACAACAGGAATTGGATCGGGGCCTACATTATGGTTTGGGTTGTTTTGTTTTTCAGTAGGGAAGAGTTACCCAGCCGATGCAAGGAAGTGAAAATTAAGCTTTCTAGCCAAATTGCCTGGCCTTTCAATACATTTCTCTGTCCTTTTCAACCATTTTCATCTATCTTGACATAAGAGCTTTGGATCGGCCACAGATTTTATATCTTCATCATATAGCCTATGTTACCAGCTCACGGATTCTTATACGGGCATCTAAGGTTAGGAACTGGTAAGCAGCAGTGGGAAAACACACTGCAGGGGAAACAGGCAGGCAAAGCCTCAGTAAATAAACATAAAGCAATGAAAAGATGGATGAAAATGCAGTTTGATGTACTTTCACCGATGAATAAATATTTTACATTTTTTTTAATCTCTTGTACTGTTCTAAAAATCTCCTAAATGGCAGATTTTACCTCCCCTATATACACACACACACACACACACACACACACACACACACACACACACACACACACACACTAC